AAGTACGGCAAGCGAGCTCAAGATCAGGACCTTGCAAAGTACGGCCGTGCCGTCGATGAGGATCTTGCAAAGTATGGCAAACGTGATGTTGATCAAGACCTCGCAAAGTATGGCAAACGTGCTCAGGATCAGGATCTCGCCAAATACGGTCGTGATGTCGATCAAGACCTGGCCAAGTACGGCAAACGAAACCTGGACCAAGACCTGGCCAAATATGGCAAGCGTGCTCAGGATCAGGACCTTGCCAAATACGGGCGTGCCGTCGATGAAGATCTTGCAAAGTATGGCAAGCGTGATGTGGATCAGGATCTCGCCAAGTACGGCCGTGCCGTGGATGAGGATTTGGCTAAGTATGGAAAGCGTGATGTGGACCAGGACCTTGCAAAATACGGCCGCGCAGTCGACGAAGACTTGGCCAAGTATGGCAAGTAAGTCAGCACTTGCTGTTGTCATAGGGAATATTTAGAAAGGCGCTCATCCTGTGGAGCATCAAAGAGGAAGGGCTGAACAGGGCTGAAGCGAATGTCAAATGGGGGAAATAGTGATATATTGAGTTATGTTTTTCTGGCGGTCACGTTTATGGAAATGATCTACTAGACCATGAATTGAATATTGTTTTTCGTAAATCATCAAAGGGGAATGCTATAGTGACTTCGAGCTGTGATATATTGGCGCCTGCCACCTATGCGTTGGGACTATGCGTTGGTGGTCTCTGTTTGCTCAACTAAGTAAATCGAAATAGTGGGCGACAGAGTGACTGTAAATCAGAGCTTAATCAGAAACATAAGAAGAACTCGTGCCACAGCACAATTATATAGAACAAAGGGGGAAACAAGTTAAAAAACACGCAGTAGTATGAATTCGAACGCAACATTGTTCAACAATCCAAGCTGACGGTTCTAAAGCAGACAAACATGGATGATGGATCCAACAACCAATCTAAAACGTGATTTAAGACGCAACCAGTATACTTCTAGGGGCGTTCCGAACAGTACCCAGGGCAACTGAAAGGCCAATCGGAATTTCCATAAGTTCCTCTGATCTTGGTCTCGGGGTTCGCGACATTCCTATAGGCAACGCTCGGGGAGTCCATTGGAATATGTGCCAAGAGGATCAACGTAAATGCCGGGTTCGGGCAGCTTATGCATCAATCAGTGGGTAGCCAGCAGTTACCCCTACCCATTGTATCATCGCGATATATTCCGTAGGCTTGTCGTTATGCAATTGTCGGGTTTGCTTTGTGGATGTGTAAAGGATCGGGGAACGGGAAACAGGATGGTCAACTTAAGCTTCGGCTCACCGCCCTCCTCTGTAGACGGCAGAATACCAGTGCTCCCAGCCCCCGGAAATCCAACACTGCCGAATCCGGTTCAACCTGGCTGCTGTCTAGTTGTGCCGTGGAGATGCGCACGCTGTGATCACCCGGTTGGTATTACTCGTAGGGTTTCACGAACAGGGGCTGGGATCTCTTTTTCTCCATAGTGCCTACTTCGTATATGCGTTGAGTACCGCCTCCGAATGGTAAGCTACTCTCTCGTTCAACCATCGTTATTCTGCCCTTTTCCCTCCTCGAATCTTGCCCGACAGGCATGGCTGCAATGGCAATGGACGGCCTCTTCCGATCTGCTCGTCTGATCTACCGAACTGTCGAAGATACTCCCGAAGATGAAGCCTTCATGCACACCATCCAATCCGACGTCGACGCCATGGCAAACTCGGACTCTGGTCTCCTGAAGCCTATGACCCTGCAAGACAGCCGGAAACACAAAGACTACGTTGCAAATAAAACGCTTCTGGGAGTCATTATCTGCCTTGCGCCGCCAGCGGCGCGCGCTGGAACCCCAAGTCTTGCGGCTCCGATAGCACCGGTTCCGATTGGCAGCATCTACCTCACGGCCCCGAAGCCTGGTGAGGCACATCACCGCCATAGCTATATTAGCATTGATATCATTGCGGCGTATCAGCGCAAGGGCTATGGAAGTGAGGCCATAGATTGGGTTATGGATTGGGGCTTTAGGATCGCAGGACTACACCGGATTGGAATTGAGGCATTTTCGTATAACCAAGGCGCAAGAGAGCTCTATGAGCGCTTGGGGTTCGTGTATGAGGGCTGCAAGAGGGAGCTTCTGTGGTTCAATGGAGGATGGCACGACTTTCTTTCTTTCTCGATTCTGGATCATGAGTGGAAAGCGAGGCAGGAGAGAAAGCTGGCGACTGTTTCTAAGGATACCAAGAAGGAATGACCATCTCCCAGCTATTCCACAAAGCCAACATATCTCCAAATAAGAAAATGGACTAGGTGGATGGGAGATAATAGGCATTCACATGACCCGTTGTTAGCATTTAGGGAAGACATATTGACATTAGGCTCAGCAACCCACAGCACCGAATTCAAGTGTTGCAAAATGGGGCACTCCGTCCGAGAGTCCCAAATTGCCTCTCTTTCCATTACCGCTTTCATATCAACTAAGACCCTTCAATTCTTAGGCGCAGCCCAAGACGTCCCGGGACGCATCAAATATGCCTGACCAACTTCAAGTACTTTGCTGTTCTCGACTCCCAACCACTGTGGCTCCAGGCTCTGGATCGCATCTTCTATTTCATATGGCTGCCCACCCGCTACGAAGATAATCTTTCCAGCGAACGGGGCCGCAGCGCCCTTGTGCGTCGTACCATTCCCTCTGTTTGCAGTGGCGCACATTACTACAGCCATGCCGACATCTTCCGGGTCGTTTGCTGGAAGCTTCAACTCGTCCCATCCAGTCTCTATTTCTTTGACCATTGCCGTCCCTGAATCGAAGTCAGCCAAGTATCGAAAGTCCCAACAACCGACTTACTTGTCATCCAGGGGCAGATCACATTGACACGTATATCTTCTTTGATTGCTGCTAGATGGAGTCCACGCATTATCCCAATAACCCCATGCTTAGTGGCAGTGTATAAGGTCAAGCCCGTACATTCCTTGAAACCCGCAATACTGCTGGTGAGGACCAGATCGCCTCCCCCGTTCTGACGGAGATATGACATGCCAATTCTGGCTGTGAAAAATGCTCCTTTTAGATTTACGTCTATCTCTTTCGTTGGCGGCTCTTTGGTTATGTCCGCATCTGGAGAGAATGGATCATTTGTTATGGACATCCCGGCATTTGCGACTACCACATCTATCCCCCCATACAAATCTTTTGCTTTTGCAAAGAGTTGAAGCTGGTCTGCGTATGATGTTATATCGCATCTGACATATGTGACATTCTCCGAGGCCAGCTCGGCCGTGAGTTGAGTAGCAGGCCCATCGGCGACATCGCCAAAGACAACTTTGGCACCATTTTCTACCGCGATTCAATATTGTGACCTGATGTAACTGTTGGTGGCGGCTTACTGTGGAATATCTTGACTGTTTCTCGGCCTATGCCCGTCGCCCCACCTGTCAGGACAACAACTTTATCTCGCACCGTCTCCAGAAGAGCGGTATTGAATTGAACGTGAACCATTGTTCTCTTGGAAAAAACAGTTTCCTTCTTTTGGCTAGGGGATCTTGAATTCGAAACCAGAGTGCTAAATTCATCGTACAAGTAAGTTTTGATCTCAGACTCATGAGCAGAGCTCGGACAGCTAGTGGCGCATTCCCTAATAAAGCCAATAGGGAGGTGGGGCATTACACATCGGGGTTCTTGCTCAACATCCAGTCATTTCCGCTAGCTTTTCTTATTCCCTCAACAACGACCTGATTAGTACGCAGTAGGAAGTTTGTTTTGGTGTTGGACAATGTCTCACTACTTGTTCCAAGAGTCGGGGTCCCGGCTAACGAATTCCAACCCTGCAGCAGGTTACGAAGTATTAACGCTCGGAATCCAAGGGATCGATTTAGTATTATGTGGGACACTTTATTAGTTACCCCGCGTCCCACTTACGGGCAACCCACAGGACGGAGGTTACTGTCCCAAAAGAAGGCTTTCGGATTCCTCGTCAACCTATTCTCGGAATAGGTGACTGTATCGTGGAGGTGTTTTTGTGGATGTGGAACATGTGGAACGATCCGGTGCTGTAGACATACCTCCTCCATAAAATCCCGTTCTTTGCTTTGCTGTAGCTGGAGAAGCAACAGCACAACAGAAAGCAGCGATATCCCTCAAGCCCCCAATCCCCAACCCAAAACCACACCATGCATGTGAGTATGGGTGTTGAGCTCGAAATGAGGCCTTTTTCTCGTGGCCAACTAACTGATTTTGCCCTCAGGTCATAGTTGCAGGCACAGGGCCGTCTGGCCTCGCCCTCGCGCTCATTCTGGCCAAAAGAGATATCAAAGTATCTCTCCTCGATGCCGCGGCCAAGCTTGATGATCGTCCCCGTGCAGCACATTACGCACCTCCAGCAATCCGAGTCTTGCGCGAGGCTGGCGTCCTAGAAGATGTACGAAAAGCCGGCTTCATCCCGGGCAACTTCACGTGGCGCAAGCTCGACGGGTCCCTTATCGCTGCAATTAGGGATACGCCCGAGTCTCGAGGTGAGGACGGACTGACGGTCCTCCCCCTTGACCGGCTCGGTAAGGTCCTTCTCAGCCATGCTGAGAAGAATTCGAATATCACGATCAAGTGGAATCATAAGGTCGTTGACATCGGCCAGGACGAGACATCCGCTTGGGCCGTTGTCCGTCTTCAAGATGGCACCGAGTTAACAGTCAAAGGCGACTATGTTTGTGGCTGCGACGGAGCAAATAGTCAAGTTCGGAAATCACTCTTTGGGGAGACCTTCCCTGGGAAGACGTGGGATGCTCAAGTCATCGCAACGAATGTGCGTGCCTCTCACCCCCCTTCTTTCTCTCCTTGCGCCCACCGTCCTAACAGGGAAAATAGGTCTACTACCCCCTAGAGAAATTCGGCTTCGACGACATAAACAACATCATCCACCCAACAGACTACTACATGGCCGCCAAAATCACAAACGAAGGCTTATGGCGTGTCTCCTACGGCGAAGATCCTAGCCTCACCCCCGAGCAAGTGATCGCCAACCAGCCCGCAAAATACGAGCGCATGTTGCCCGGCAATCCTAAGCCAGGAGATTATAAGCTTCTGAACGTAGGTCCGTACCGGATTCACCAGCGCTGTGCAGATAAGATGCGCGTTGGTCGTATTTTATTGGCTGCTGATGCGGCGCATTTGTGCAACCCCTTTGGAGGAATGGGGCTTACGGGTGGTCTTGTGGATGTTGGTGGCCTTGCGCAGTGTTTGGGTGGGATTAACGAAGGCCTGGCGGATGACAGTATTTTGGAGAAGTACTGCACAGAAAGAAGACGGAAATGGAAGGAGGTGATCGATGTTGTCTCGAGTAGTAATTTCACGCGCGTTTCGGCTACGGACCCCGAGAGGGCACAGGATGATGATGAATTCATAGCCATGGTCGTGAAGATGGAGACTGATGAGGAGTTGAGGAAGCAGTGGGATGACGTAAGATATTTTGCAACCCCAACTATTGATCTACTGAACAGACATGCTGACTTGTGTTGCAGAGTCTCTACGACATCGTCCATGATTTTACTCAGTATTACCGAACTGCCCCAGGCAATAATAATCCGAAACTATAGTTATATTAAGAATTATATTATTTCAACTTCTATTTTTAGCGTTCTGTACCTAGGTAGTTTGGAAGCCGAGTTACACGAATTGGAATGTATTTTTGAAATTATCGATACTAGTAGCACATCTCGTTCTCCAAATGGGAAAAGTGCAACCCTGTCAACCGCGTCATAATAATAGTTCCAAGACCACGAATTATGATTGACCTATGTACCACTGTCTTTCCTAAGATGAGCGTGTGTACTAATAACAGTTGGAGTAAATGAAAAGCCTTAGCTAGAAAGTGCAATTTTGCTTACGGACGCTCATATTTTTCTATGCTCAATCGCCCTATTAGGCGGTCCGAGTAACTAGGTGACTAAATTGGGTAGTGTTAACTAATACATGTAGTGAATAAACCAATCAATCAATAGACCGATTAATCCATAGCTATGTGTATTCGTGGATCAAATCCGACGCAGAGATCATGATGCGGACTGTGGCAGAATAACAATCTCAACTCAGCTTGGAGAACCGCTCTTAGTTTACATTTCTACATCCTCGGCAGATTGGGTGCTTCAACACGTTACCTAGATCCATTAGGATAAAAAAGGGGTTCCAATATTATGATTTAATATTTTGTGTTTTTTGAGTTTGGCAATGATCTGAAGCCTGGCAGAGATTTTGAACTCGGCAGTTATCTAAAACCTAACAGCAGCTTGAATCTTTTGGACTTCAGAACTAGCTCCGACCATCCGGGTTGGTATTGAGCAGTTCCCAATATCGCTTTTACTTTCTCCAGTATTCGGACGTAGTTTAAATGACCCTAGAGAATGCCCGGCCGCCTCTTAATCTTCTGAACCTCGGTATTCTGGTAGCAAAACCCCGATTCGATTGTGTAAGGTATCTCTTTCAAGCTGGGGTTTACACCCGAGATGTAGCAATACTATGGACATCAGCATGACATCATAGGCCACTTACCTCTATATAGCTAGGTCTTAACTTGTTAGGCCACTAAGCATGCAATGTTCCTGAGCTTGAGGTTTGCATAGCGCTAGTCAAGTGAGAAGCGCGAGTAGGGATGCTGACCCATACTTAGTAATTCTGATTCTGTAAGAGGTCCCTTAAAGTATTACGGACTAAGTAGTTAACAATTGCCGGCGGTAGTAGGTGTCGGGAAACCGAGGGGACGGCGTGGCTTGAGAGGGTGATAGTCTAAAGTATATAACTGCCGACCCAACGACTAACTCTTACTAACCTCTCCCCCCACTCCGTAGCATCCGGCATCGAGGTCTTCGAAGTTAGGGAACAATCCATGTAGATATATGATAACGCAAATAATTCATTTGTAAGGCATGTTGACGGAGAAATATGTCAGTATCATTAACTCGTTTCCAGTCTATTACCGCGGGTCTTAACAATAGATATGCGGGAGTATCCCACCAGGTAGCCACCTAGTCGTTCATTTTCCCTCCAACGGCCGAAACTATTCCTATCCTCGCTTCGGACACCCACATCCATAAAAGAACAAAACATAACCAATCCCTAAACTCGCACTTAATGCGTTAACTTCGCTCCAGCCTTCTTATTGTGCCATCCGCCCAACCAACTATTGGCAGTGTATCTCCTAATACTCTTGCCACAGAACCAGAACACAGGTAGTAGAAGATTATTCGCAAGTAGAACAGCGCCAAAGGCACCTGCAATAACGACCGCAAAACCTCTCTCCAGAATCCAATCTAGCAGCTTCAAGCCCATGCCGAAACTAATAGCTTGTTTGCCCAAATTCATAGCGATAAGCATTTCGCTCGTGTTGGCGTTGTAGGAGTCCACGGCGTATGCGAGAGTGAAACTGAAGTAGAAGTACGCGCCCCAATTGCACATTGCGACACCAGCGAAGAAACCCATCCAGTGGAGTTCGCGTTCGGCGGTCAAGCCGTAGACGACAAGACCGGCGGGGGCGATCAGCATGGCGGGGAGCATGACAGGGAGACGCATTTCGGCTTCACGGATACCGTTGTTGCGCCTTGTGAGATGGGCCGCGAGACGATCGGAGGTGAATGTGAATGGGACGGCGCTTAAGAAACCCACTGCGTTGGCGACTGCAATGAGGCCTGAGTTTTCCGGTGCCCAGCTGTATGGTGGCTTGACGATCAGCAGAGGGAAGGTGTAGTTAAACGCCAAAGCTCCGAGGCCGATGTAGATTCCTATAACACAATAATTTTAGCATCAATTTTTGGCTTAGAGGGGGATGCTGATTTCGTACCATAAGTAGTAATAACCCAAAACACGGCCGGAACAGTGAAATATGTGAAGGGGCGAATCATAGTCATGAAGAACTCGGCCTCATGGTCGATTTTCTCGAACGGCTTCAACTGTTGGAGGAAGGTCTTCCGTGGAGGAACCACGGTTGCTTCTTCAATCTGGTGGACACCCGCCTCCTTTGCATCGCCGGTATCAGACTGTGCGGGCGTTGCTGCTGGGATCACACGCTTGTAGGATGTTTCTTCGACAAAGATGATTGCTAAGATGAGGAGGGCGGCAGCGAATGCGATCTCAACGTAGAAGAAAAGTCTCCACGAGTAGCCTCCTGCCAACATGTACCCAGCATATAGGGGACCGGTGGCACCAAGACACAAGCAAACTAGAGCGGCGTGTTAGTAAAACTATTCTCACCCAAAGGGATCATTGAGGGAAATTACCAGTGTAGTAGCCAATTCTCTTGCCACGCTCATGGAGGAAGAAGATGTCGTTCACGAGCTGCACGGGAAGCGCCTCACAGACTCCAGAGCCCAAGCCGTGGAAAACACGAGCAACCATCAATCCTTGGAAGGTACTTGCGCGAGAAGCGCCGATCAGACCGCCTAAAAACTGTTGCACCCGGCGTTAGTTGGCTATAGTTTAGGGACTTTCGATTCGGCAAGGGAATACCTACGCAAACAAGAGACAGAAGCATTACGGGCCGTCGGCCAATCTTGAGGTACAATGGAACGAGGAGGAGAGAGCCTGTATCTGTCAGAGAACATCCAGGGTCTGGTTTTCCAAGCCTCCAACTTACCGAACCCAAAGGCAAGATTAGGGTAGGAAATCAACCCTGATGCTATGGTTGGGGTGACGCCAAACTCTTCTGCATAGATTCCAATATATACTGAAGGCCCGACGAGGGCGGAGTTTCCAAGGAACGAATAGGCGGCACAAATTGCGAGAATCATCGACTTTTTGAAATTTGTCCACTGCAAAATCTCTCGTCTTAGCGCTGTTGTTTTCACACGGTTGAATGTTCGAGGAGATAATGGGGGCCCAAAAGCGGCAGGATACACGTACTTGGAGAGGATCATTGGGGTCATCCGCTGGGACGGGAAACAGAGCTTGTCCATATCCTGTGTCATCACCCTCTATTTTCCTGCCGTGTCAGCGAGCTATCTATATTTTGAATTCGAAGGGAGCAAGAGATGTACTAACCAACAGCCTGAAGATTGACCGTTCCCGGAATATCTTCCTCGTGCGCATGACTGCACTCTTGTTAGCCATCACGTCTCGTCACCAACACCAGACTTGACGCGCAAAAATAAAAAGGGGTACCAACCTGCGCACCAAATGGCGAGGATTTTGAGTAATATCTGTCATGACGGCGGCGTTCGTCCTTGTCTCTAACCAAGAGACACAGTCTTAACTAGCTAAGGAGATGGAAGTTCTGACTCGCGCGCGGTCAGCCAAACTCATACACAAGCAACAACGGGAGAGCTGCCCGAGTCGCTACCTTTCTATATCTATAAGCAGCTCTGCAACCCAAAATCTGGGGAAGCTGTGGGGCCCCGCGCCGGGCGCTCGAGAGCAGTTGGGTGCGGATGTGGGGAGGGCAGAAGGGCGTGGGCACAACAAACACGCCTCCGCTTGATGGCGTCCCGAGTCTCGATCTTTGGCTTGGGCGTTCCGCCTTGTTTTGCAATTTCAAGCAACTAAGGACCAGTAAAGGAGAGAGATATGGTTATGACACTTGCGCTTGCACTTGCCCTTAACAATGGCCAGTGTCGCGGAGAATAAGCAGAGCTTTATCATGGCCCCTTGCGACTGGCCTAGCCGTAACCTTCGTTTCTGTACGTACTTAGCAAGCGGCAGGTAATAAGCCTGAGCCTGAGCAGCGCTGCACTGGCAGGCTCGTCCAGGTCGGTTCGAGCCCGGTAAGACGCGCTCTGGTAGAATGTGGGTAAAGTTCTCCGGCAGGTGGAGGAGGGCCAATGGGACAACAACCGGACGAGGGCAATGGCAGGCAAAGAGCAAGTAATGGCAGGCAAAGGGGAGACAATTGCAAGGACTCCAAGCTGTCAACTGGGATCCAGCAACTGGGATCCAACTAGGCTATACTACCACTAGCCTATGTGGGTACACGGGATATTATTGAATTGCCAGGTCTCGGCGAGGCTCGTGGGGTGCAATCACTGCAAACGGGGAGCAATTCACCACTGTAAGCGGCTCTCCAGGGCGGTCGTGGATGTTTCGATGTTGGCATCGGCTGGATGTAGTGGAGATCACCCTCTGCGAAGAGCCCAAGGACCCAATGACACCGCCGAGGTTGAAATGAACTTGCTCCAGGGTCCAACGGCGGCTTGCCACTGTGCATATTGTTTTCCTTGCAGGGGCGAGGCACGCAGTAAGTAATATTAAGAGGCAGAATGGCAAGTTGGCAACGCCCGGAACCAGCTGCTTGGGTCGCGCGCGGGAGAGCATTGGGATGGCCGCAAAACACGCTCTTGGGGCCCTTCCGAGTCTCTCGATGCAACGGTGCTCTGCTCCGTATATCTGTTGGAGGTGTTCTGCATGAACAGCAATCAATCCAAGGTGCGGTTTCCACTGCAACCCCAGTCCCCGCGGCATTAATAATGCCAAGTTAAATCGATTTACATCATCCTGAGGCCGTCGCTGGGGATTAATGGGGATTAAAGTGCACTGCGGACGTGGATGTGGATGTGGACGTGGTGTGTAGTGCTTCGTAAGTTCATCAACCAATGCCCTCCAGCGCATATCAAGTTAGGATGGCGTGTCGACAAGCCCACCAAAACTCCACCAACTCTCCACTAAGACACTACGCAGACACTAAATCAACCAAAGCAGCCAAACACTGAACCCCTCGGGATACTTGCACTTTCCACGTGCAGCTCCCACCGCGCCACGACACCCACCCCACCTCCTCAACTCGCTCCCCGATCAGCTCCATCAGAAGCTCCATAAGACGGACAAGCCTCGTAACTCTATATCCACTCCTCCCACATCTGCCTCCGCCGCTCCGTGCAGTCCATCGCCAGTCACCTCCATCACGGACCGAGTCAAAGGGTCCGAAATATCCATCGAGTGCAAGAGCAGGTACAGTATCTACTGCTGTTGGGCCTGCCCCTTCATGGTGGAACATGTGGGGAGGCAAGTAGCACTCCAGCGCCAGCTTGCATGCTACGGTATCGTAAAATTGCCGATATACTCCATTCCAAGATCCAACCGATATGGACCTCATCAATCGCATCCCTCCTCGGAAAACGAGAGGCAGAGATGTCAGATATCGTCCAGAGTCTATACAAGATGCAGCTATATCTTGCATTTCGGGTCGATTTCGGCGGTGCCGTATTTAGACAGAAACCAACCCCTGGAAGACGATAGAGCTGGAAGAAGTCTTTGATTTCGTCTCTGTCATACTGGTTTTAATGTCCTCCATGGCGACCAATATATAGATAACATAAAGAGTTATCGCCTGTTTTCAATTTAATACTCGCATTCAAATTCCAGGTCTTTGCTTGTTGATATTTGGGGAGATGTGATCGGTTTGCCCAAGAATCTCACTGTCTAGTTGAATCCTAGGAAAAATTAAGTGATTCTTCTTGGTAGATTATGCTCCTCTTTCTTTGGCGAGCTCGATAGATATTGCATCTTTCTAGAAAAGGCTTTCGAAGGACGATGCCATTCAAATATTTTAGAGTTGGCACACCCCACACTGGTGAACACTGGGGTCAGGTGCGTTTGGACGTGGTGGTGCAAAACGCTCTTCAGCGCACATTTATCCCTCTTCTAGGCTCTAGCTCATGAAAATATATACTACTGTCTTATTAATGTGCATAACTACAAACTCTGCCCCTATGTCATGATAATAGAACGAGGACGAACCACTATTGCGACGTAGCGGTCGAAAAAGTGCAACAGCCAGACTATAATCAATCTATCCCTTATCCTTTCTGCCTTTCTCCTATCCTACTACTAGTCGGTCAGCCGGCATAACCTCGCCACCAACTCTAGCAGGTATATATATCTAAATAACAAAAGGCCATATAACGACAACCTAGCTCTTTAAGGCACTCCCCACAAGTGATCACCCGACACTCATATCGAAGAGCAATATAACTAGGTCTAGCGACAACTACGAAATGGCAGAGATTAGTTGGATGTGGGCAACGATCTCTTTTGCCATTTTGCCTATTTTTTCAAATTTTGGGGTTTTCAATTCAATTGTCTTTTTGATTCCTTTCTTTTTAACCGATCCATATCTTATAAATTAGGGCAATACTCTACATGTCTAAGTGATTCCCGTATTAAAACTAAGACCGGGGTAGTTCCAAGATAAAACACACTACATATGCACGAACTGCGCGTTCCTTCGTTGACAATCATTTTGAGAGAGCAATGATATACCGAGGAAAGGAAGCAATGATCCGGGACGCCGAGCTATAAAATGGACATGAGATATTCATTTGCTAATCCCCAATGGGCATCGAGAACTAGCCATTTGGGACTGCTCTCTTTTGGCACACTACAAACCAAGAATAGTGTTGGGAGACGTCTTGTAACTGAACTTTAAACATACATGGGAGTCGCCTCGGAAAATTGGGCAGATTCTACATTAGTGTAGGTAGACTGTAGTTTCAATCCTCGACTCAACGTGCATTTTACACCTGACACAAATGTTAAACTTGACACTGATATTCAACTCGACGGAGGTCTTCAATTCGGCAGTGATCTTCAGCTGGCCAAAATTTCCCCTTTGAACTGTAAAACCCTTACTTAGAGTTACTCGAAGTATTCTCTCTGATGTTGCGTAAGCTATAGAAGATTTTGTAGCCGTCGTCCAATCTCCACCTGGGTATGGTGCCCTTCCCCTTCCCTAGACCCCTAATATCGAGAATGTTCTGTTCCCTTAAACAGTTACATCCAGTACTTGGTATCCTTCGGGGCATTTATCAGATACCATGGCTTGTCTCCTGCGAGGGACGGCACTACCTCTCTCCAGAGTCCAGATCCGATGCCCGTCGACTTGATCGTAGGATAGGTTGCGTTCAGTGAAGTTGGATACCTTCCTAAACTCATTACCTCAAGTTAAATATACATAGTAATTAAATTATAAAAATCTAACAAGATAAACCCCTCTGCATTGTCCAACATCAGTTTATATTTGCCAAGCAAGACAAATACTAGTCACATCCCAGTCTAAAATCCCTATGTTGTTTTCCAACAAAGAATAGTTAATAGACTGACTTGTCTACCGTATATTCGTGGCAGAGTAACAAAGGCAGCGTTTGAAACTTCCCAAGATATTTTCATTTTATACTCTAATATAATGACGTTATTACTTGTTGATAAAACATCGTTACCAGCTTACCTATTTCAACATGAATATTGATATGCGGAAATTTGATCTCTGCTCGGAAAAGCGAGCAGAGTAGCTTAATGGCAACATAACACGAGTCGTGGTAAGTAAGGGCGAGTTACATATAAGGAGCGAAATGATCATTGAGAATGTGAATGGCAGGGAATACTAAGGAGAATAGGTGTTTGCGCGCCAAATTTAGGATGGAAGTAGTTAATAAGGGAGTAATGGCTAAAGGCGTGATGAATTAAAGGCTATCGAGAAGGACATAGTATATAGATATTCCTTCGGTATGTATAGACTTAAGCCACGAGGCGTTTACCTAGGTTAAAAATGGAACTGTGCATCGAATTGATAAAGCGATAAACCCGAACTGACCAAATATGAGTTTCCCATATCGCTCATATTTTCGCCGTCAATTCACTCCCACAAACTACCCACCAACAACTCCATAAAAATGAAACCAACATTACACCTACAAAATCTAAAAGCTAAAATTTGTTGTTATTGTTGTTGTACTTCCCCTTATTGACCTCGAGGTTGATAAAGTATTGGGGAGCTTGGCAATTATATCGCCTTTCGGGCGGGCATTCATGCAGTCATAGGCATGCTTATACATGACGCCCAAGTTAAACTTGTATTTATTGTTCAACCCGTCGGTGATGGTGTCGCTGAGAGGCTCGATTGCCTAGGGTTCTCAAATGGGGATGCCTTTTTGGCGCTGAGTTTGGCGTAGATTCCCTAGAACATGTCGTCTTGCCATACGTGAGAGATTGGATAGATTGCATTTTCCCTGACTGGTGATCTCGGTATTAATGAAGATGTCGAATCCCAGCTCTCCGAGGATGCTGATGCATGGTGCTTGGCGCCGCTTCTCTTATTAGTGATCGCATTTTCTACAAGGAAGGCACTTGTTCACTTACTAGAATATCATTGCTGTTGTCTAATATGCACCTGAAGACTTTATCGATAGACTCGACTAGGAAGGAATTTGCCTTGGTCAAAGAACTTGACAACATTGGTGGAAGAATCGGCATCGGTCAGAGCAGCCTTGGGGGTTTGGCTTGGTCCCCCTCGCCGAAAACATTGCGCATGGTGACCTCGGGCGCGGCATTGCTCCTCGAAATAATCGGCCAGAGACTCCTTGAACACCGCCCGGGGATCAGGGGGCGCGAGCGGCGTCGCAACGCCGAACGAGCCACTAATAGCACCAATCGCTGAACCGATCCTACCACCGAGTCCATCAAGATGATTCAAGTCATACCCGAGGCGGTTGTAATCGCCCCGGTTGCTACGCCGAATCTGACAGCAATTTCTTGAAGACATTTTGAGCTAGCTTGCGAACCTAGTTGTCGTATCCTTGGCCCTTGATCCAACTATCAAGACTGAGCGCCGGAGCTAGTCCACCACTAGATGTCATTGGGGAAACCGAGATTGTTATCCTTCACTGAGTAGGTGGTGACTATTGACCTGGCAGAGATCTGTGTAGTTATCCGGCTTAAAGCCCGTGCTATGTCGAGTTTCCAACTAGACTATCCCAGGGCGTCGCTGTAGGACATGGCAAGGCTTACGGTGGCTGGCGTCAAAAGGGGCACTCCTGAAACAGTGTTTGCATGGGGTTGAACCCTGATGAATAGAAATTGTTCTATTCAAGTGGCAGGGAAAAGACAGGGGGACAAGGGAGAAATATAAAATATATATAACTATGCAAATGCCTATAGATATATACGAAATTATATACTAGGTTGTATATAATATATATAATTATGCCTATGGGGCGCCCCAACCCACCTGGGCGTGGGTAATGCGACCCCATGCTGCACCTAGTCGTGCTCGCTTAATTCATACCCCAGACAGGGGTCACCACGTGATCATCTACTTCAGTGGTGCGCTGGTTAGCAACTTCTAATTTATTTGATGTAAGTAGTATATAATAGGCACATCTGGTTCTAGCTAGCTCAATTAACTCCATATAAACCTCCTTTACGAGCATCAAGTTTGTTCTAATCGCCTTGCTAGAGTAACTTGCCTTCTGTGCTTGTACTCGTGAGTCGTGCTAAACCCCCCCTTTTTATTTCAAGAAATCACTTCCCTAGGCAAGTCTTGCTCCAGAGACCATGTTCAAATTGCCTATTAGTGCTGCTATGAACTTAGCCTTTTAAACGTAATCCTAATGAGCTGAGTCTTCCAGATACGGTCAACCTAGTACATTACATAAAGGATGGCCGCTGAGGAATCAGAATCAGAACAATTATAGCTGACGAATTAGCCTTCCTCGTACCTTGATTCTTTACTATCATCTGTCGAACACCGCTGCTCTTTGTTATCTGTAGTAAGACTTCCTATGTTCTGCTGAGCTGTCAAATCCTCCCAATCACTAGGAAGCACCTAAAGATCCTTTGCCAATGAATTTGAACTGTCCATATTGGCGGTGACGAGTCTAGGTTAATGCAGGACCCTAGGAGCGGCTGTTGGAAGAGATGCTTAATGATCTCCTAAGGGAGATCTTCAATTCTGATGGGAAAGCACCGGCGAACCTCTCCAGGTCTTTCAAAAAGTACCGGTCGAGTTCTACCATCACCGCCAATAGTAAGTTGCAGCCGTCCATCACTACGCCTGGGATCGGAGAACCCCTGTCACCGCTGCCTCTGCATTCAGTTTGTTAATAACTTAATACTGTGATGGTACTACAAGCATGTAGCAGATTGTCGTTCGTTACGTATGTTAATCTTACGGATTCTTACCATTGACTACCATGTATTCGAGTCTCTCCTTAAAGCGTGCCCGAATTTCCCACAGGCTTTTAATATGTCAACCAATTTAGCCCAAGAGGGGAATTTAGTTGACTAGTCGGAGATATCACTCAGTCGAATAATATCCTGCCTCACCGTATCGCCAACCAGTGCAAGAGGGGTCACTATATCGGATAACAGAGGGGGAACCGGGATCTCGTGCCACGTCAACAGCTCAATGGAGATTAATGCACTCTACTGAGAGGTCTCCATGTCCTCTCTGGATTGGCAGTGACCTACAAGGATGGATATGGCTTGGACCCCTCTGCAAGAGTACATTCTGTCGCTGAAGCTTTTCGCTTCAACAGTATGCCACGCACCGGTCCCACTACACTGCTAGTAGAATATTTTCCTGTTCTGTGCTCTGTAAAGGGCGCGATCATACATTAAGGTATGTGCACAAGGGCATATGAATCCTATCCAAAGTGAAAGAAATATTAATATATACTCAACACAACGCTTCCCAATTCGCAACCAAAACACCTTCAAGGAGTGCTCTCCTGCGAAACATACTGTAAAGTTAAAAGACATCTATTCATAACGTTTCACGTCATTTCTCTTAAATCACCAATCGAACATCTTTTCCATCCAGACGGGACCTCCATCTGAGCCACCCTTCCGCTGGCAAAATTGCATGAGAATGGTGTTATTCACATGATCGAGGCAGTACAACGTGGGGACAACTCTGGACGATTCCGGTATAATACCGGATTCATTTCCCTTTTCTTCTATCTCCATCATGAACGTCCCAACTTTCGAAACCATAACAGGATCGGTTGGACCCTCAGTGAACCAAGATCGAAGTATTGCGATAGCTTTGCGCCGAATCACCCGGTCGCGACATCTCATAACGACTAGCCCCAGAGGACAAGTAATGCCCAAGTCGAGCAAGAAGCCACCGTCAAGGGGTTTGGCAGTATTTTCGAACACCGTTGTCACATGTGTCTCGATGAGACAAACAATCTGTTCGAAAAATGGCAAAAATTCATCGTACGAGGTCTGATCTGGAAATGCAACGGCCGCAACCATGATTTCGAGTGCTATACAATTTATCAAGACCATAGTTGCCAGCAAGAGCTCTTTATTTCGAGTTGTCTTCGGCAGCTTCATCCATACAGGATGGAATGCACAATGCCATCTTGATACCTCTGCAGTGTAATATTTTTGTTGTTCGAGAAGTTCTTCGGTGACGATGTTGGGCGTACTGTGAAGGGTCTTGCTGGAGTTGGTAATGAACGTATGAGATGGAGATGTGGTCATAAACGGTCTGGCGAGCTCTTCCGAGCGAGACATTTCCCACGCAGTAAGTAGGAAGTGATATGACCGTGCCATGACAATGTCCCAGTAAACTCTTGCCTCATTTATGTCTTTAAAAATTGCCGGCATATTTTCGATGGTGTCATCACCTAAATGTTTAAGAGAATCATGAAACTTATGACCTCGTGCATCTGCAATGGTTAGAATCTGTAGATCGAGTTGGGCGAAAGCATGAACGAGGTCATCTTCAACTACCTGTGGTGCTGGCGATAATATACCCACACTGTGCGAAATGCCGTGAGGTTGCTCTGACATCCAAGTTTGCAATATTTGGTGCCCTGCTTGGGCGTGATACATTGCCACAGGCCTATTTCCAGAAAAGTTTTCGAAGCAAAACGAAAGCAAGGATGCCAGCAACGCCTGTCTCGGACTGAAATCAGCATTCGAGATAATATCTTTGATCTCTTTCAAAGACTTGCTATACTCGAGGAAAGCAAATCTGCGGTGCAAGTTGGCCATTTCGTTTTGGTGCTTGGTACTTCCAATTGGTTCATAGGCCCTGTTCCGTGACGGGTCGATTTGAATTGATTTACTAATCGCCCCAATTGCCACGACGGCGTGTCGGACGAACGGCTCTTGTCGAGATATTTGTAAAATTAATCTATTCCAGAGTGAGTTGTCGAAGTTCATTGAGAAGCCTGACGTAGTCTGATCCTGGTAGTGTTGGATGTAGCGACGTTCAACTTCGCTCTCATTCATGAGAAGAGATGACGGACGAGCCAGTGACAGCCCGGACATGGCATCTTCTCGTGGAAGCAAAGACCTCGTAGCGAAGAATCCAGGCTTGGACCGCGCCGATATATCTGAGAAGTAACCCACACATCGCATTCCAGCCTTTAAACAACGCATGCACTCCGGGCGTCCCTCATCACATTTAACATGACGCTTTCTAACAACGAAAATGATTAGTATCAAGGTGCCTTTAGGTTGTATACGGAATACTAGTGACATGTGACTTATCTCTAAATTTTCTGGAAACACGCAGGGAATGTTAAGGCTTTTGGACGACAAACCTGCATGTGGGGCATCCTGTCCTGACTTTTGGATGGCTTGCTCGAGACCGGATCTTCCCGTGTGCTGCTTTAGGTTGGGACACACCCATGTTCGCGATGGGAAGCGCATCCAATTCTACCAATTCCATCGTGCCACCGTTCGCCTGGCGTAATATTGTGGCCTCACGAGGTATATGGCCGTTGAACTGGTTGCTTCAGCCACTCAATATTCACCTCACACGGGTGCTCGAGATTACTGTTAGGTGTTCGTTTCAAAAAGTGACTGAGTTCCGAATTGAACACTTCGACTTTTGAGCAAAGTAAAAGCTGCCAAGGAAGGCGGTGGCCCGTGGGATATCACTCCTTGGAAGCTCTGGAATGCGTATCCAATTAGCCTGTTTAGTAATAGATATCAGAGGATATTACACTTAAGTCTACCGTTTGATTGTTGGCTGTTGAAGAGCTGCCCAGCATTCAAAAGCTATAACGTTGCAAAAAAGTGGGCTGATGAGGCCACAGAAACAACAGGATAATGGTACGCGGCAGTGCTTCCGTCAGTTTCGAGCTCATACCATCAGCCAGCCAACCATAAACATTGGTTATCAGAGAATCCGACGCTATATTATAACTCAGCTGTTGGTAATCAGTTTCGTAGTATTGGTTGACGTTTGAGGGAATTGATATTTGGCTGCGATTAAGTGTGAATCTTGAATGCTTGAAGTTACTAAGCTCGTTTAGTTACATATGCAGCCACCCCCGTTCTTTCAACCAATGGGAGTTTAACCAACATGTGACCTCGCCTTTTACTACTCAGTGTTGGAACTAACGTTTACAACCAATGAGATCATGAAGTAGAAAATGTTTCGTGGGAATCCAGTTGAATATAGGGGAACCAGAGTATATTTTTGGGAGTAAATTACTTTCCATAACTGCCCTGAACATATATTTTAAAGATAGTAGAGCTTTAACTAGTACTTGCGAAAACAGTAATGAAATAAGTGATAATAGTGCTTAGAACTATGGAAGATAAGTGAGAGCCGAACCTGCAACATGGTGGGACCAGGTAATCTCACCAGATTCAACCATCTAGACCATCGGATCTAGGACGACCACATGCAATGAAAATAATAATCATCCGTAAGCCATAAGCCGCCTTGGTAGCTGGTATGGTCCCAACTTGAGACCCACCCGCAATTGACACCGTATCCGGCCCCATATGTCGCCACCGTACCACCGCTTCCATTGCTATCGAAAATGACAGTGAAATCGCAGTTCGGGCTAAAATACTGTTTGCCGTTAAGCTGGTTACTGGTCGAAGCGACAGTAATGTCCCAGTAAGTGGAGCAGGCTAAACCAGAGTGTTAGTACTTGGCTGTATACGCATGTATATTATGGAGTTGCTGACTTGGGCTAGAAGCACCATTGGCATAATAGTCGACCCAGAGGTTTGCCTGAGGCTTGAAGCACACTTGGCCAAAACCGCCGCACACGGTTTCCTCCAATACGAATTGCCAATGTGCTTCGAGGTCTCCGGTTGTACCACGGCTGGCGAGAATATTGGCGCCAGTCTCGTTGTGGTAGGTAAGGTTGATTGGTGCCGCAGTGCGGTTGGTCGAGCTGTGGATGCCCTTGGATATGGCACGCCGAGAAGCGATGTTGATGGGACTGTAGACGAGAGCAGTGTTGTTCATTGGAGCTGCCATTGCGTCTTCAAAACAGAGCATAACAGCCAGTGCTGCATTAAGCACGGAGGAAGTAGACAAAATCATCGCTGCGAGAGTGAATACTTGGTTGATAAGGGAGGTGGTTTTGCTATTGTGGGAAGAGGTAATAGAGTTGAAAAAGCGAGATTGGAGTGATTCAGATGTAGTTCTAAATAACGAGGAATTTCTGGCTAGAAGTTGCTGGCTGTAGAAAATCGAAGGAAATCGAAGGGCCATGATGGTGTTTATATATCCTCTTGAATACACCCCCAGAGCGCAGGCCTTGGGTATGGAACTTGCTGGGGATGAGATATTCCCACAAAGACCCAATTAAAACTCCCTTCTAATTGAATAGATACATAATAACTGGTCTTTTGACCATGCCACACTCAAGCTGAAGTTTGATATCCAGAAAATTCTCCAACAAGCACTAGGGCTGCTGACTCTACTCTCAAATGCATGCAAAGCAAAGACGTTAATGGCAGTGTGATTGGATGTATGTACTATACAAAAACATCTTTCAGCTTTGCCCGTGGCTGCTTATACCTACCTAGGCACTCAAGCTTTCGACAATTAACCCCAGTCTATTAACGTTGATTGAAGTCAGGTACGGCCAGTTATATCACATGATCTCTCCAAGTTGATTGGTTACCAGACCGCTCTTTGAGCTAGAAACGGAGCCCATCCCTCTTTCCGTTAGTCATGGTCAAGCCACCAGTCAGCAAGGTAGCACCAGGTTCAAACACCAAAAATTATAAAAGTTAATGGGAACCACTAAGCAACCCATACTTGAGCACCTTGGACATTTCGAACAAGGGAGGTGGAGGTAGACTCTAACCTATCAAAATTGATTGTAGTCAGGTATGCGGCACCGGCCAGTTATATCACATGATCTCTGCAAGTTTATTGGTTACCAGACCGCTCCTTGAGCTAGAATGGAAGCATCGCTCGCGAGAGCCTTATTCTCGTGCACATCACAGCACCCAGATCTCCCGTGCAGCCGATATACTAGCTACACACGGCGAGCCCGAGATAAGTGCGCCAGTTTTCTTTTCAGCCCCGATAACGTTGGCAATTGAGGGAACCACAATAGGTCCGGTTGAATTTCGAATGCAGTAAGCCCTGCCTGATATGTGAGAAGTCCTCGCTTGGAATATCGAGAGTAATATCTATGCCTTGACTCCTCTCCTCTCTCCGCCTTCATTTTCTACTCTAGTATTCTAATTCTTTCAAATAAACCGCAACTTCGGGCTCAACACAAACACCACAGCCATGGATTTACCTATCCTTTCTGTCTCGCTCCTTTTTGCTTCGTTGGGGCTGTTATCTCACACGACTTACTTCATACATGGCGAGCATCACATGCAGTCGGCGCGCATTCTAAGTGCCTTCGCTCTTTGTCCTTCAACAATATGTCTCTCGGTATTGCTCATGGGAGACGTTCCTCTGTTTAACGCTATCAAAGTGACTATAGTATGGTCGACATCCTTCTTCTCGGCCTTGATAGTTAGTATCTTAAGTTATCGCATGTGGTTTCATCCATTGCGACACTTTCCTGGACCGCTTTCCGCACGTCTCACCAAATTGACACATACACTTCGGCTTCTTGCAAGGTCCGACAATTTTGCTCAGACAGATCTATTGCATCAAAAGTTTGGGAACATTGTCAGGCAAGTCTTCCACCACATCCCATTCTGTATCCCGAATTCAATTGTCGGTCTAAATCATCATTCGTATACAGAATCGGTCCAAACGAGCTTAGTATTCTTGATCCCGACGCAATTCCCGCGATCCACAGCTCTGGATCCAAATGCATAAAGTCCGCATGGTATGATGTAATTGCCGGGCCCAACCCGTCACTGCAGACGACTCGAGACCGAGCCACGCATAACAGACGACGAAAACTGTGGGAGCAGGCATTTAGCATTAAAGGTTTTGCGACAGTTTTTGATCTTGCACTCCTTGCTGACGTTTCCATAGCACTGCGAGAGTACGAATATCGTATTTCCGAGCTTGTTAACGAGCTAGTTGCACAGTTGGAGAGTCTCAAGAGCCAACCCGTCAATGCTAGCCTGTGGTTCAATTTCTATAGCTTTGATGTCATGGGCGACCTTGCGTTTGGGCAGTCCTTTGATATGATGAAAAACCAAGAGCAGCATTTCGCACTCAAGCTGCTTCAGGCCGGAATGGCCCCACTTGGAATTCTCACACCGATTCCATGGATTCTTGTCATTCTCAGGAAAATTCCAGGAGCTGTTAATGGGCTAAAGATGTTCACCAAGTATATTGAGAATCAGGCTGAGATCCGTCAAAAGGTTTAAATGGCTCCGGCCTGCTCAACAGACGATAATAAATACTGACCTGAATATCAATAGAACGTACCTACACGACCTGATATCACCAGCTGGCTTCTAAAAGAAGAAAAGGGCAGCAAAAAGGCTACCGAGAGACAACGGAGGTACGCTTCAGCCCTGTGTTTTATAATCACCAATATACTCACTGATTTAACCTCTTGCTCTAGATGGCTATACGGTGACACGGGTCTCATGATTGTTGCAGGCAGTGATACCGCTTCCGCTGTAATAACCCACGTATTCTATCACCTTGCCAAAGACCCTAAACTTGTCACTAAGCTTAGGGAAGAGCTTAAGACTTCGTTGCCGAACGACTCCAAGTTCCTGTGCGCGATAATCAATGAGACTCTGCGTCTGCACCCGCCTGTCCCCTCTGGTGTGTTGCGACAGACACCCTCCGCTGGCTTGATGATTAAGAACACCTTTATACCTAGCGGAGTTACAATATCAACGCCTACGTGGTCTCTGAGTCGCTGTATGTCGTGTGAAACTAGAGTCTTTCGCAGAGCTCGCTGATTCTTCGAGTAGTAGAATCTGCCTTCCCAAAAGCAAACGAGTTCCTTCCTGAGCGTTGGACATCTGCTCCAGAGCTCCTTAAGAATAAAGCGGCATTTATCCCGTTCTCCTCAGGTATGCTTCACAAACTCTTCTTATTCCATAGGCTCCTCTTTTCTCTTTACTACATTCAAAACTAACCTCGCGGGTACGCAGGTCCTTACTCTTGTATTGGCAAGAATCTAGCACTGTTATCTATTCGTATAGTTGTGTCGCGTATTATATTGCACTTTGATGTTTCTTTCGGGGTTGGCGAAACAGGTGAGAGGTTGTTGAAGGATACCAAGGATGTTTTCACGCTTGAGGTTGCGCCGCTTTATTTGAACTTCGTGAAGCGAAGGGAGGTGGTCACTTGAAGAAAAAAAAATTCTTCTAGCTAGAATTAGGACAGAAACAACAATTAACCTAAGAATTTTCAGTTCAACGAGCTAGCTCTGATTATCAACTAATTTAACTAGTCTGCCCCGAGTATATATATATATAACTTAGTCTAAATTAGTTATACTTGAAATAGTAATAGTTTTTAAAGTACTATTAAAATAGTTTAATCAATACTTAAAATTAATTACTATTACTTTATTTTACTCTAAGTAAACTGTACTTTACAGTTAGTATTTTAGTAATAAAACATAGGTGGACGGCTACTGTAGATAATTAGAAATTCTTCAAATGAATATATAACCCCTAACTTTTTAAAATAGTTAATTAAAGTGAGTATTTAATTTATACGATCGATAGCTTAGAATCGCAGAATCAATTTAGTTTTTTTGCTAAAGAGCTGCTATGGTGAGATACGGGCCTTGAAAGAATTCTAATCCGTCACGAATCTACAGGCCACCAGGTGGCTATCATCGGCCCACTACAGATGCCGTCGCCCTACCGAGAGAACGCAGAAGGATTCTGGAGAGAAAGTTCGGATCGCAATGGAGAGTGGCTTGGGACGCCATTTGGCAATATGCTCAACTTGATTTGAATATTTGAAATTAACACCAACAGCTTTGCGCTGACAAATAGAGAAATAGGCATCGTAGTATTGGTGGTGCCTACCTTGCATAGGTACGCAATATAGGCCGAGGGATCCGATCCTAGTCGGCAGTTCACCGGGCTCCAGATCGATTTATAGTGGTTGATATGAGCGCATCTCGGCAAGGTTGGCCACCGTGGGGTTGGGAAGAGGTTAAAGGTAAAAAGGGCAAAGTGCAAAGCGGGGTAAATGGCAGAATAATGCCCCATTATGTCCTATTAGCAAGAGCTGACTGCTTTACGGACGGAGATGTCAAAGTTGCAGAATCAACATGCCAGAATGGTATTGTTTATTAGGTTGCGGGACACCACGGTTATGGTTATTTGCCGAATTGAACCGAGCCCCTGGAGCCCCTAAGCAAGCCCGCCGCTGTATAATAATAGGCGCTGGGAATGGCCTTGCGGCTGCTGCTGGAGGAGGCGAAGATAAGAACGAAATACTCCTAGTGCCATCTCTCCAGCAAACCCCACAGACTCGGCCGCTATTTGCAATCGGGGATAACAACAACACAGGGCCCCACCTCCCTCCTCGTGCATGCGGGGCAAAAGGCAAGTTTATTGAAACTTAGAGTGAACATCGTTTATTATTTGGCAAGTGCATTTCTAGACGGCGAAGAGCCCCTTCCTCCGTCTATCTCTCTGTACGATACGAGAACCCCTACAACAGCCAGCAACGGGCAATACTTGGCGTCTTCCAGCCTCGATACACACTCATTTTGTCTAATATCGAAACAGCAAGCAACCAAAGTGACATCGTGACACGCCCCCGACTATGATCACGGATTCGCTTTCGTCGACCGCGGTATGGATGCGTATCCAGGCCGCGGTGGCAGAGGGTGGGATTCGCCCGATTCTACTGTGGGCGTTGGCGGCGGGAGCAGTGGCTTTGCTGGTGGATTATGCGAGGATGTTGTATTTGTACATGCGGATGGTATGTTTATGGAATATCTCATAATATCTCATATGTTGGAGGCAACTACTGACCGAAAACCCTCAACTATAGCCACCGGGACCATTCCCTCTTCCAATTATTGGAAATACTCATATGTTACCAGACACCAAGCCATGGATATATTTTGAGGAACTATCTAAAAAATACGACACCCCTCTGATTACTTTCTGGATCGGCCGGAGGCCCACCGTCTGGATCTGCGATGCATGGACAGCATCAGAGATTCTCGACAAGAGAGCCGGAATCTATGCATCTCGGCCGCGAATGGTCGTTTTTGGAGAACTGGGACCGGGTCAAACTAACCTGGTGTCCATGTACTACGGGCCTAGATGGCGTCTCCATCGGAAAATCACCCATCACGGAGTCGGGTTGCAGCAAGTACGCAACTATCGGAGTTTCCAGAACGACGAGAGCAGACAGATTGCCTACAATATCCTGACCACGCCGGAGAGTTACGAGGTCCATCTTGAACGATATGCTTCCAGCGTTGCGTCGATTATTGCATTCGGGAGGAGGATTGCAAAGACCACGGATCCCATTGTTAGTGAGGTTCTTGCGGTCATGCAACGGGCTGCCGAGTTGAATGTTCCTGGGAAGAGTTTCCCCATGTTGATGGAGTCCTTCCCAAGTGAGTCCCCCCGCACTTTATCCAGTGTTACAAAACAGGTGACTTATTCGTACCAATAGTCCTTTCCAAGTTCCCTAATAAGATCGCCCCATGGAAACATGGTCTTGGAGGGAAGAATGGCCGAGGCCGCCCGTTCTATTACGCACTGGCTGAGGAAGCCGCCGCAAACCCTGACCAACCTCAAAGTTACTCCAAGAAATTGTTCGACGAAGCGCCAAAGCACAACTTGAGCCCCGCGGAAATTTCGTCCCTGGCAGGAAATCTGTTTGGAGCTGGCAGTGACACTTCTAGTTCGACGCTTCTCACGTTTATCCTGGCCTGTTGTGCGTTCCCGGAGGTACTTGCACCTGCATGGGAAGAGCTGGATCGCGTTGTGGGCCCAGGGCGAAGCCCAGACATGGACGATGAGCCGAACCTGCCATACATCAGAGCCTTTGTAAAGGAGGTGTTCCGCTGGAGATCCGTGGCTATCATCGGAGGTCAACCTCACGCCCCTATCCAGGATGATGTGTACAAGGTGAGACATATATATATCTCCGTTTCTGAAGATTGGAGAGTTAGTATTGACTGTGCATTTTAGGGCTACGTAATTCCCAAGGGAACTTGGGTCCAAGGTAACGTGTGGGCCATCCACCGCAATGAGCGCGACTTCCCCGAGCCTGACCGCTTCAACCCCGATCGGTTCCTCAAGGACAATGCTGCCTCCAGACCATTCCCCAACGAGAGAGGGTACATGACATTCGGATGGGGCCGACGAGTATGCAGCGGCCAAGGGCTGGCTGAGCAAGGAACCTTCCTGTCGGTGGCTCGTCTGCTCTGGGGATTCCGAATTTCCAAAGCGCTTGATGCTCAAGGAAAAGAAATTCCCGTGGATATTTTCGCTTATACGTTCGTGAACCCCCCTCCCGCCCCCTGATTGCAAATTGGATATTTGAGATATTCGAGAGAGCTGAAGCTGACGGACTGATTGAAATAGGAATGGGCTGAACATCCGGCCGGAACCCTTCAAGTGCCGATTCATCCCCAGATCCGCTGAGATCCGGGCGACGATTAAGCGGGAGGGCGAGGAAGCGCTGGAGCGGCTGTCAATCTATGACGGGGAGACGAAGTATAACTTCAGTACATATAATAAGAAGTAGATAGAAAGGTACATGTACCTGGTAGCTCCGTAGGTCCTATAGGTATACGGTTAGGCGGGGTGGATGGGGCGCGGGATGGGAATATTCTCACGAGATTGGAAGATAAGGCTTATTACTTGCTTGCACTCCTGACGCAATATTTATTTGATTTACCACTGACTTTGCTCTGGTCCGCGATACTCCCTACCTAGGTACCCACCCGTACTTTCCAATGCCATGCGATGTGATGCAATGCCATGCAATAGCCCATGGGCGGCAAATACCCATGGCCGTTGGCGAATGTGTGAATGGAGCGAAAACTCCAGCGCGTGTGGTCCGGATATTAATTAGGCTCTCCCTTCTGCCGTACGTTCTTCCGTTTCTTCCTTTGGGGGGGGAGGTTGTCAGTAGCCCCCTTTGCGCCGGAACCATGGCCCAATATGGAGAATGGCAGAAGTCGGGCAATATATTTTCATATACTGCATCTGGGCAGGATCTGTTTCGAGGTAGGTAGGTAGCTGCAAGATCGATTACCCCAGATCCGATCTACGGAAGCGAAGCCGAGGGAGATGGGTCGTAGATACTGTACAGTTGCTCGACACCGCATCGTGCTGGGAACCAACAAGAAGAAGGGGATTGACAAGCAAAGCAGAGAGACAGAATACGACGATACGACCACGGCATTGTGATGATTCTCGATGCACAATTCCCCAACAGCTGCCGGGCAGCAGGGGGGGCCAGCGGTGGAGATGACAGAGTGCAGTTCGTGCTAGCCGTGTCAGCTGGGACGATGATCGACGACTAGCGGCGCTGGACGCCCGCTAGGCCGCGTAGGGACGCACTAGGCGGGGCTACACAAGCTAGCGGGGGGGCGCCTAAACGCTCTGGGCGCCTGTTTGCGGCATGAACCCTGACTAATGCTCGCCGCATGCGCCCTTGCCCACGCCCCGTCCACGCCCAATCCGCTCTAGCCCGCCCTCGCCCTCCCCTGCACGAGTCGCCGATTGCCCGATCCGTTGACAGCCACATCCTGGATCGTCACGTGGCCCCTCCGCACTTCGCCCTCCGCACTCCACACGCCACACGCACGCCCCCCAAGCCCCCTCCAGACTCCCGAAGACGTGACAACCTACTGGAAGAGCGTATACAAGAGTTCCTCGCAACGGTGCCGTGCACTCCCGGGAGCTGCTGGAGGGCCCTAGGAAAACCCCCCGAGAGCCCCCAAGCCAGCCCCTACGAAGTACTTAGAGCGTCGCTGTAGCCACTGGAGAGTCCCCTAACGGTGGCCCCTAACTGTG